AAACAAGGTCAAACAACTTCTATACAACGAAAGGAGACTGCGACCACACAAAAGGCCACGCCATCTTGGTATTCATACCTTTAAAAATCAAATGTTATCTAAGCCTAGCGAGATGGATAGTTGAAAAAAGGAATAGGTAAATGAGGCTACAAAGCATGACAAACGAGAGAATACCGATTACCTGCAGAAAGTCGAGAAATGTCTCTGCAGATAGAGGTACGACCAAGATGTTTGGCGCGGTCAACCAGATAGCCCCAGGAAAGTCGTTCAATATCATAACCAATCAGAATATCTGGATCAAAACTAAATAAAAGATAAATTATTAATGAAAATATCATCCGGAAAGGTAAGAAATAAGCTGAAAAAACAAGGTATTTATGAAAGTTAATTAGAACAAGTTTTGACCATGTCCCAAAAATATGGCTGATCCAAGTTGATGCCAAGTCCAAATAAATAATTGAAATAAAGTGTAACGATTAGATGGTATCACTCGAAAAAAAAATTAACTTAAGATAGCGGGGTTCATTGTTTGAGAAGACTTTTGAAAATTTTGAAATAAAAATTAAAAACAAGAATATAGCAAAATATAAGAGAAAATTTGTCTAAACAAGTAATTTAAAATTAGCAGCAGCCAGCTCTGTCAAAATAAAATATATGCGTTATTATTACTTTGGCGTAGCAAAAATCATAAGGTGCTTAATTTTTAAGTAAAAATATGGTGCTAATTATAAAAGGTTGATTAGTATGAATTGAAAGTATAATTAAACTTGGATATGAAGACAAAGACATTGTGGCCTCTATTTTAGTCGCAGTCACCTTACGATGTATAGAAGTAGTCTGGTCGTGGTTTCAAGAGGACTTAGTTGGACGCATTTTGTCCAAAGTCCTATGCTACACTAGTTATCATAATTTCCAGGGTCGGACTGTGGACTTGGTGTATTTCCAGACGTTTCGCCGACATCGCCAATGAGTCTTGACATTCCCAGCATCAAGCTATAATGTGTTAGGGACAGGTGAAGACAAAATAGTTTGATCAGCCTTCTACCGAATGGGCATACTATTGCTCCTGTGTCTTGGCACATTTACCTACATCATTATCTATTATCTCACTAAAGCCCTAGCATGCT